GTTTGGCAGTTTTGTTTGAGGACATATAAACTCCCAAGTACCTAATCAAGGACTACACTAGAATATATTCTTTCTCAATTTTGGAGAGGGTAACAGGCAAAACTGTTTGCCATATTGTGGTAATCTTTGATAAAAATTAGAAATGCCATCTTTCAAGAATGATTAAAACATTAGTGTGTTGATTCCTTATTGGAAATTAGTGTCATAAGTAATATATTTGATACAAGAGAAACACTGAAAATTATTCTTTATGAAATCTCACATTGTTTTGGTATGCATTGTTCAGCTATAGAATCTCAAGGAGAGCGTGCACACCTCAAACTGTGCTGTTCGTCACCTAACCATATACGTGAGAGGGGTAGAGATTGGGTATCTGATTTATCCCTCAATTTTGAAGAATAAAGAAAACAACAGAAATTAGTAAATTATAGACACACTGACAGGCATGCACAATCCTTGATAGTCTCTGTATCACACAATAATTTATATTATCTCTAAATCTCACAACCAACTTGCAGGGTGAATATTGTTCTTTTATAGTTGAAGAAACAGATGCAGAAAGGTAGGCAAACTTGCCCTAGCACCATAATATCAGGTCAGCATAATTTTTTAAATTGAATTACAGTTGCCTTGCAATGTTACATTAGTTTCATGTGTAAAGTGTATTGATTGGATGAGTCTGTGTTATATGATGCTCACCACAAGTGTAGCCATCTGTCAGCATACAATGCTGTTGTTACAATACCATTGACCATATTCCTGTGCTGTACCTTTTATCCCTGTGACTGAATTCATTTCATCACGAGGCCTGTATCTCCCACTCCCTTTTGCCCATTTTATCCGTTACCACCCCCCATCCCCTCGCTTGTGGCAACCAACAGTTTGTGTCAAGAGTGATTTTAAATCCCTTACATTTACAAAAGAAAATCTGACAGCTTTTCATTTTATTTTCCTAGAACATCTCATGTAACACATACTACATTTTGCACAGCACTGTAATTATTGATGAATATACCTTTTAGCATTTATATTTAACTGCACGTGGTTTTAAAAGGGCTGTCACATTTTAGACTTGTGGCTACCCTCTCCCCACTTGACCCTATAGAATTACAGTGCATGGTACATAGAGAAGGCGAAAGAAATTTTGTTGGAGATGGAAATGTATTTTGATGTTGATTTGTTAAATGCTTTATTCATTAGTACACCTTTTTTTTTTTAAATGAGTAATTTTCCTGTTATATGTTACTTAATGAGTCCCTAATGCCTTTTCTTGGTTTTTCTTCTTTCTGTGTTTTTGAAGAGCTTTGTTTCAGAAATATTTTGAGTGGAAATCCCTTTTAGATGAAACTCATTGTTTTGGTAGTTAATAACATATAAATTAGAAAAAAAATCATCCCAGGAAGTTTTTTGTGTTTTCCTTTTATATTAGTATGCAAACAGTAATGGTAAATCTTTGTATAGGTTATGAATAATCTCTTCTCTCAAATTATGTATTAAAATTTATATTGCTTAATTATTGCAATTTTGTTCAATGTGCCCCCAAATTAGCACATTATTTTGGGGCTCTGGGTGAATGGTAGTCAGGTGGTGATGCTGGATTGTAAGAACATGTTACCCTCTAGTCGAGTAATAGCTTCTGTTCTTCTCAATTCCTTTCCCCACCTCTGTTGACACAATAGTCATGAAAACAAATTCCTATGCTCAGATCCAATGTGAAATATCCTAGTAGATGTGGTTTGGTGTCCTGTTGTGATATCTTAAATCATTATAATAAATAATATGCATTTCTTATCCTTTCTATAAAGTCACTTTCTCTCACTGTTTTCATCAATATGGAAATACATATCATATGAAATAAAGTATTCTGGTTTTTAGGAAAACCAGACTTCACAATAGCAATACTCCTATTTCTACATGGAAATAATCCTCCCTGTCCCTCCAAAAGATACAATGTTAGAATTAGGCTAGTTTTCTTTTTAATTTTTTTTATTTATTTATGATAGTCACAGAGAGAGAAAGAGAGAGAGAGAGAGAGAGAGAGAGAGAGAGAGAGAGAGAGAGAGAGGCGCAGAGACATAGGCAGAGGGAGAAGCAGGCCCCATGCACCGGGAGCCCGATGTGGGACTCGATCCCGGGTCTCCAGGATCGCGCCCTGGGCTAAAGGCAGGCGCCAAACCGCTGCGCCATCCAGGGATCCCAGTTTTCTTTTTAAACATGTCTTTTCTCTTTGTCCCTCTGCTCCTACGTACTGTATCCATGCTGTTCCTCCATTCTTCACAATCTAATAACATATTTAAGAAACACCTAAGTGCCTAAGTTTTTTTTTTTTTTTTGAAACTTGCTACGTTGTTCCCTTTCTTTGCACAATTAATATAACTATCCTCCTATATTTTCTTATTCATTTCTACGATAGAGCAAAGAATATTGGTTTATTTTTTTTTATTTTTTATTTTTTTAGAATATTGGTTTAGAATTAGACATTTAGTTTGAAATTCTTGCTGCATAACATTTCTGATTTTCCTCCTCAGTAAACATGAGATGGTATTATCTACTTTATAGATTTGTATGGAGAATTAAATCAGATAATTGTATAATATACAGGACATTGCTTGGCATATGATAGGTAATAGAATCATGTTTATTCTTCTCTTCTTTATCTTGTGATTTCACTTCCTATGTTCTGTTTTAACCACTACAGTGTGAGTTGTGAAAAAAATTGTTCTACTTAATCTGCATGCTCGGTATCTACTTTGGTTAATATTTAGTGTATATTTTTTCAATTAATGAATAAATAATTCACCTAGTAGCTACCCACAGTTATTTCCAGTGGCAAAGTATTTCTCTATATATTTATATATGTGTTAGTGTATGTCTATATGCCTACACACATCTAACGCCAATTTTTGACCTCTACTCAGTGGAGAAACACAGTAACTGAATGTTGAGAGTAAGGAGACATTGTATACTTGTTGATGTGTCAATCAATTTTAGTGTTCTTCTTTAAATGTCCATTAATTATTACGAGTTTTAATGAAATTATAAATTAACAATTTTTTCAAAATTTAATTTTGGAAAAAGTTATTTATGGCAATTGAGAAGTTGTGAATAATTTCTTGTAAGTCAGAATGTGAATAAGAAAAAAATGAAAATGTTTCACTATTCCTTTTCACATAGTTTTTTTTTATCTCAACCACTTTTTTTCTCATCAATGCTTTTCCTATTTGTAAAAGTGAAAATTATGAGATTGTCTATTTTAAGCTTCATTTTCTTACAGTGTGTCAGTGATATTAATTTTTTTTAATCTGTTGTGTTCAGATTTAGTGTTTTCGGAGCCTGTCTATACAATAATGACTCAATAAATACATTTCAGCTAAATTATTGAATGATCTTGCTTCTTATACATGTTAAAAGGATCAATACGTTAAAATGAAGAATTAATGAGATGTATAATAACCATTAAGACATAACAGTTAAGCGCTAGACACTATTCAGGGCAGTACGTATTTTTCTGTATTTTACAGAATTCAAGATTCCAAATTTTAGCTCATTTAATGACATAAATATCAAATAATATTACTCCATTAGCATAGGGAAATGAGGCACTGAGGGCTTAAATGACTTGTCCAAGGTCATAGTATTGGTAGAGCTAGGAATTGAGGTTGGGTGGCCTTGCTCCAGAATCTGTGTTCTTAATTACCACGCTGTAAATAATAATGCCAGAAATTCACATAAATTTGTGTAATTTTGCCTTATAACTAAGGCAACTATTTAAGAAATTTTTGGAATTTATTTTGTGAGAATGAGGCTTATTAATAATAGTCTTCAGTAAACTATCACTGTTTTGTATAAGCTTTTCCAGACATTTATAATATCTATACTCAAAATATGAAATTGTTTTAAGTTATATCAATCACTAGAAGAGAGAAAGAGAGAGAGTGAGATGGACAAGGAAAGAGAGACAGAGAGAAGGAGAGGAAAAGGAGAACAACCCAGTTTGTACCGATTCATTGTTTTAAAGGTGTTGACTATGAAAGACATCCTCAAAATTTGGGTCATGCTCCTTCAGTATTTTTGCTTCTTAAGATAAATCTGTGTAGTCTTTAAGAGAAGGCAGCAAAATCTGTTCAGTTCAGTAAAATAACTGTCTTACTGCTTAAAGTTTTTTAATGTCTTCCATACATATTTAAAACTTTTAAGCAATATTACTCATCTTAATTGTAAGATCCTGTAGAGTAGTTTGCTTGTTTTATTCAATGTTCTATCCCATGTTCCTAGTTCAGTGCTTTATATTTCACTGGGCACTCAATAAACCTCTTTTGAATGAATTACCTATGTTTGAGCATAATTAATTAGCATAAATTTAGGCTCTTCATCGATCCTCACAAAGATGCTTTGAAAAATAATATAGTTAAAATGGGGAATAATCTTTGAATTGAATTTCAGGCCTGGAATGAAAGTAAGACTCATAACATTTAATTTTTGTTTGTTTGTTTTAAACTTATAGTAATGGTAATGAATGTATTTCTTTCTTTTTACTATACTAATGTTAGTAAAAATTACATTTGTTGAAAATGTTTGGACAAAGTAAGTCCCAAGTCTATTTATACACATTAACAAAGTATAAAAATTAAATACTAATTTGTTATTATACAAATTGATATTCCATATTTATATTAATTTTTCCAGGGTAGCTGAATTATTTATTTCAGTCCATTTGGAGATTGGGAAATAAACCCTATGGTGATGCATGCATAAATTTTATCCTCTAGCGTTACTCATTTTTATATATGATGCCTGTGTAAGTTACAGTGAAGAAGGGAGGGAGGTATACAGGGTATACTAGTCAGCAAATAAATCTTCAAAGAATTAATATGAAAAAACGTGTATTTGGTAACCCATTCTTTTCTCCTTGTTTGCAGGATTCAAATTTGGGATACTGGTGTTTTATTTTTGAGAAATTTTTTGTTTGAGGGATTTTTTTTTTTTTTTTTTTTTTTTTTAATCATCGATCGTGGAGTACAGAAGAGGAACCAGCAAGACACATTTCATTTCACATTGGGAACACTCGCTTTTGAGGCACTCTCACACCCGAGTACACAGCCATGTGGCCATCACAGCTACTAGTCTTCATGATGCTTGTAGCACCAGTCATTCAAGGTAAGGCCTTCAATTAGATTTTTGTGTGAACTTAATGTTGTCTCTATTTGCTCTAGATCCTTTCTTCTAAATCTTTGCTCAGTGATTTAGCAGCTTTTGCCTATGATATATTAATAGAAGTTAAATTTTACAGGCCATGATATGTGCCATGAGCTGCAAGAAATACAACTTTGAATTTGATTTCTGAAAGTAGCTCTTGAAATATATGTATAACCAAATATTTTTGTTATTTTTAATAACTCTTGCATGTTTTATTATTGGCTTTTACCACACATATGGAAAATCATCTAAATTATTAACTATACCATTTATTCTGAATTTTTTGGCTTTCATTTTTTTGTAATTAAAATACTTTTTAATTTAATAAGCATATCTATTTGAAAGACAGAAAAAAACCAAAAATCTGCTTTCCCAAACCAAGTTCCTATTTATTTCTCAGTGTTGGCTACTCTTCAATCTTTAATACACAGAATGCAAGCTAAACGTCTCATTTAAATGAAAATTATTTTTTTCATATACCTTTTAATGAAAAAAATGCCAATTATATGAACATATGGTGAAAGGAAATTTTACTGAAACATGCTAATCAACTCATAAAAAAGCATACTTTGTTCATTTAGACATTTTGGTATTTACAACACAAGTACAATAGTTAAATACTATATCTTTGCAAATTTTATAAAAGATAATTATTTAATAAATAAATTCTGTACAACTTAGTGTAATATTCACTGAATCTTTCTAAAAATTGGCAAAGTCTACATTTATATTCCTTACTGACTCTTTAAAGTTTTCTACTAACTGTCATTGGTTTTGCATTAATATGAAAATGGTATAATGTAGTAACCACCTCATACATTAATAATACTCTAGCAGAGAAAGAGACACAGCTGTATTTGCCACTGCTCAGAGGTCTCAGAATATCGTACTGTAGCAAGTACCTGAAATCAATTTTTAGCCTATATGGCTTACGTTGGTTTTTAATGGACTACAAAAAATATATTGTCATTTTTCAGTGATACAGTTCCATATTTGGCCCATATGCTTGTTTCAACATGAATTACATTCTGCTGTCATTGTAAAAACTGAATAAAGTATCTTCCGTGTCTTTTGATGTTTTCTGCTAAAGCTTCCCTGATTTAATACTTTTTAAACAATATATGGTAGTGCCTTTTTAAAGAAATGAAAGTAAAACTTTAAGCATCTAGTTTTAAGTGATGTATATTTGTAAAAAAAAAAAATTCAAAATGTTTCCTTAATTTATAGAGTGATGGAGCACTCACTTTCACATTCTTAGGCACATATAAAATTTTGTGGTATGAGACAATAAAATAATTACGTCCCTTTAAACAATTTTTTTTCTAATTATCTGTGTATCTAACAATTATTCTAAATAGGTTTTTCACAGTATAAAGATGCCTCACTCATAGAGTTATTTTGAGGATTAAATAAGTAGCATACAAAGAGAATCTAGTACAGTGCATGACAAATATTCAGTGTTTGAACATGTTGATTTTCTTAATCATGCTATCTGCCCCTCTAGTTTGTTTTAATAAATATATAACAACCAGAAATTAGCTAACCATGAGAGCCGTTTGATTTGTTATTAATAATCAAAAAAAAAGAATTGCTTTTTCTGTCTCTACACACATACATACACACAATTCATGCTTAAAAAGTCAATCTAAAATTATGCTTGCTAGGGGAACATAGGTTAAAATTGCAAGAACAGACATTGTAAGAGATTCCCTTTTCAGAGGTGAAATTTCTGGTCTCTAAAAACTAACACCTACTGTGTATTTCAGTTGGCAGAACATGGCAGAGCCATAGATCATGGGACTTATGTTTGGATCGTATTGAACACCACTCCCCCCTTTAAGTAATTCTGAGAAGTATTTAAAAATTCCTAATAAAGCAAATAGAAAATTGGCCTGGCATAAAAAAAAATATATTTTGGGCTAAACTAATCCTTGCTGTTGTATGTGAGCTACTTTATCGTATCTCTACTTTGAACCATGTTATGCTACACAATATAGAAGCTTTCTATATATAAACCTTATCCTTATTACTTTGAATTAGGAATTTTAAAACTTCACACCAGAGAAAATGCAAGTCTGTTTTGTCTTCCTTCTATCGAAGGCCTTCTCCACTGCCTTTGTGTCACCACTTCTGACTTGTAAATAGAGGACTTCATATAAACAGCCTTTTGAGACTCAGCTTGCTCATACATAAAGGAATGCATGTACCTCTGATCAGTGCTGATCGTAGAGGACAGACTTTTTTATTAGAGTCCCTTACAACCTTGTCGTAAAGGAATACCACGTAACTTGAAACTTTATAGACAGTTGAATTAAGATGATATCACAGCTACAGGAGGACATACTCTTGTTTCTGAAACATCCCCTGGTAGTGTCTCCTTGCCTACTCTTGTTGAGATGTCCAACTTCATTTGCACTCCTGACCATAGGGAATTAACTTATCTGGCAATGGCTTGCTCTTTTCTCCAGAGCAAATAACAATGATGACTACTGATTTTATAGCCATAGACTTTAGATGTATTGGTACAATTGATCCTTATAACATTCTTATGGTTTTAATATTACTTACTATTATTATCATTACCAGTTTTTACAGTAAAAACATTGTGGTGCCGAGTGGTAAAGGATCTTGACTGAAGTTACACAACTAGTATTGAGATCCAGAAGAGATTTAAATGGAGGACCTGGCTTCTTGAGCTCTGGTCTTACTCCCAGTAGGTAATCAATCACTATCAAGGCCATTCTTGCCTGCAGAGAATCCCATCTTAAATCTTCTGGCCATTTGAGAGAAGATGAAACAGAAATGCAGATCACTTGTTTCTTCCATCTTCTGAGCCCAGACAGATGAGGCGTTGAAGTCTTACATTCCTGAGATAAAATTTCAGCTCTGCTACCTAACTAGCTCTGTAACCATGTTACTTGGTAATAAGCTAGTTAACAAATAACCATTATCACCCAATGTGAGCCAGAAAACTGTGCTAGATGCTAAAGATATGCTAGTAAATAAAATACTTTAATTGTTCCTTCAATAAAGCTAAAGTCACTTAAGATTTTGTAAGCCCACTTTTTATCTGCAAGAACGACCATTTATTCCATGCAGAATTATTTGAAGAGGTAGATAGAATAAAATATATGTGTAGCTTTTATCATGGAGTTTGGCATTTGGTAGATCTTCCTTATATTTGTCTATCCCTAATGACCTAGAAATGGAGCTAACACTCTGAACATTAGATGAGGAAAATACCTAATTATCTGGATTCTTACTGTGAGAATTGAAATAAGTTTTTTTTCTACTTGAACTTCAACATTTAAGTTTTTCCAATAAATTCTCGATACTAGTTACTATTCAAAATTATTATCAAGCTGGTATGTAAGAAGGCTTAGTACACAATTTTCTATATATAATAATATAGTATATAATTATCAATTAGGCAGATATGTAGTTGTCCGTGGTAGTAGTATATAACTGCTAATATATCATGGTCAGGGATAAATTTTTTTCATTATTCTCACATAGATAAAATTAGAAACTCAGCTAAAGAATTAATTCTAAATAATGTTTACATCAGTTGAATAATCTCCATATTGTCCTAGAAAGACTGGTCACTATTTGATATAGGAAAACAAACTTAATCAGTACATCCACACTGTTATGTATATAAACACAATTCTTGGATTTGAAAATGTCTCTGGTTCTGTGTTTATCTGTCCATATTTTATGTCTCTGTGTACCTCCGTATTTCTCCTTTTTTTGTTTTCCATGACCGTGCCCCCTTCCTGTATAGCCGTAAAACCCTTATCTATAATGCAAGGAGAACTGGCAGAAATAAAAAGAAACCACTAAAGCAGATGGCCAGTTTTTTGCTGTTAACTAATGTAGTGTTGCATGAAGATAAAGGATTTTTTTTTGTTGTTGTTCTATTGGTGTGATTGGGAGCAAGAGAAAAGAAGGGAATTGGAGAACAATAATCCAATAATAACCTGGGCACTTGGGCTCATTGTGAATGGTGATAAAGGGATACCAATGTCCAGTGTGATATGTGGTTTAGGAGATCTGGTACTCAAGCCACAATGGATTGGGAGTTGAGAAAGTGGTTGGGGTGCTCAGCTACTTAACTATATCTACTCTTAATTATATTGTGCTTATGAACTATGTTACAATTGAAGAGATAGAAAATAGGATAATTGGAACTTACTGTGGGTAAAGGGGAACAATGTATTTTATGGTACTTTTGCATAAAAAATGGGTTTTAAAAAATTCTTCTATAACCACCATATGCATACTTTTTTTTCTGCATGCCTATTTTTTGAAAGTTGCATGTGTATTTATATATTTATGGACTTTATAGGATAACTTGCTTTTTATTATGTTCAAGCATTTAAATAATAATTATAATTAGCAGGGGCAAACCTTTGATCATATCCATATATATTTAGTCTAATATGGTTTTGTATAATTTGCATTTTATTATTAAAATCTAATTTTTACAATTATACCATTTAATGTACCAGTAATTTAAAATAATACACATATTTTTAAGTTCTAATAAAACGTAAAGCTTGAGAAAATATAAAAATACATTTCACTATATAGCATCTTACGATATAAGTCTCTTTATGAAGTCATATTTTATTGATTGTGAAAAAGTCCGCTTGACTTCTAAGCTCTGCTTAACTTTTTATTTTTAGAAATTAATCATCCTTGGAATGTTTATGTTTGTCATTCCAGATAATTTGTAATTCTCCCAGTGATATCACCATGTTTATGGTCAAATATGTTATACAAAAAAAAATCTTTTTCATGGTCATGATATATTAGGCTACTGCGAACACATCCAGCATCATTTGCATTATCCACTTGGTACTGAATTTCAAAATACATATTTTGTAAGTTAACTCTAGTCTCTAATATCACAATATAAGCCACAAATATGCTTGGCTGATAGCTTTCCTTTGTTAGAA